AATAGTGGATTCCTGTTAGTTAGAGCATTGTAGAAGCGCGCGGTGATGGCGTCATCTCCCACGTACTTGGTATAGTCGCTCAACCGCCCGAGCCAGTTTATCTCCTCGGTGGATCCGTCATCGAATGTGACACTTAGTGGTCCTGTTGGTGGCTGGAATTGTAGCAAATTCCTGTCGACGACAGACTTAACAAAGAAATGGTTATTGAGTCTCTGGAGAAGACCCTGGTAGATCCCCAAGTAAGGTCCACTCTCGGATACCGCATCCTGCATCCATTGGAGGACAGGCTTGCCGTCAACTTCAACAATGACATCACCTTCCTTATGGGCAGTTACAGGTTTACCATAGACGGCAGGGTAATACATCTCGTTGAGATTCGGGAAGCCGAGAGTTACGACCTGGGCTCCGTCACGCATACGCGAATCGAAGCGAATTGGAAGCACAAAGTAGAAGTCCGTGTATGGCGTATCATAACGAGTATGAGCGTCGTTCAAGCGGCTCAACTGACGCTGCAGAGCGAAGTGAAAAGGGGCCGCAGGGATGCTCTCACTGAAGAACCTCTGCCTTTCCTCCAAAGTCATTGGGTTCAGCGCGGCGGCATACTCACTTATCCTGTCATCAATGAAACTTTCGATGTCAACGTCAAGAGAATGTAGCTTGAAGTTGCAGGTGTTGACCTCCACAGAGTCGTCCAAGCCGTTAGCGATGTCTGTGAAGGCGTAGGTCTCAGCCAGGCCGTACTTAAGGTTGTGAAGAGTGAAGAGGGCGTCGAAGTTGGTGATGGTGAGATTATTGAGGCATCGGGTCACGTCCTCGGCTCGTCCCCATATGAAGTCCTTCATAGTATCGTCTGCTAGCGTCTGTCGAATAGTCCGTCCTCTGGCTGGGTTCAGAGGGGCACAGTCGTCAACAACAGGGATCGAAGGTGTGGGTATGACAGATCTGTTCACAGGACTGCAGGGCAGGTCACTTCCGGGACATACGACACCATCTGATGACCTTAACGTCGACCAACAGATGATCACACCAAGCTGGAGACGAAGCATAATCTTAACAATAAGCTCTTGATGGTTGGGAACTGATATTCAAAGCAATCATGACAACTTCCTGACAGTACAGCTATCGTCCGTATAGCTGATCATTCTACACGAGAACAATCGTTGATCGCTACCGATTGGGTAACTGAATGTTAATGAGAATGAGCCAATCAGACATCCTCGACCCTATGGAGACGCAAGGCGCCTTATACTGTCAAAGGAGTCTCCTACAAATGCACGCATGGGAGTCCCAATGGGAATTTCCCATGGGCGCAATTGTAGGAGACATGGCGCTAATTGCAGAATTATAGTTGTCACTTCTGCCAACCTTGACAGCCGCAGCCTAAGCGCGATCTGATACCTGCATCTAACTCCAAGATTGTGTTGTCAGAGTCAGCAGCATCAGTTTCCCTGAAATGTCACATTGATACTATCAAATTAAGACCCGACCACGACTTCGAGTAGATTCCTCCACACAGCGCACCTGCTCTCAAATGTCTGAGGACCCAACATTTTCAGCTGCTCGCATTCATCACTGATGAAGATACGGAATTCATTTTGATGCTCAGCGTGGCCCGCTTCTCAGTAAACCAATGCTTAGCTGCAGCACATAACGGCTCGGGCCGTGCTTTATGCGAAGTCGAAGACAGGACCAGATCAGCGATGAA